TAACAAGAATTGCAGCAGATTTAAGTGATATTGACATTAATGAATTAATTGATGAACCAGAAATTGACGATCAAATTAAAACACAAGAAAATTCTACTACTATTATTGGGAAACATTTATGTGGATCAGCTACTGATATGGCATTAAGAATGGGAATTTCATTAACAAAAACAAAAAGATTACGAGGAATAGGGATTGCGTTATGTTGTCATTTTAAAGGAGATGGACATGACGATTGTACTATTGATTTCTTTAATGCATTAGGTGTAAGAATTGCTGAATTAACTCTTATTCATCGGATGGCTGCTTGGGGTGTTTCTTTAAATGACTGTAATGATAAAAGTAAAGATACTGATAATGATAAAAAAGTAGTTGGTCAAATGTGTCGAACCATACTTAATGTGGCTAGAGTTATCTGGCTAAAAAATCAACAATTTATTGGTGATGCTGGACTTGTAAAATATTGTAAGAAAACAAGTTCATTAGAAAATGTATTGTTATGGGCAAAATCAAAATATGATTAATCTGGTTTGAATTTTATCTTAACTAATACTTTTTTATTTTACTTCTTAATTAAGTATTGAGTAGCTTTATAAATTTTTTGTTTCTTCCTTTGTGAATAATATTTTCTTTTATTTCTTTTTTTTCTATTATTGAATTATTCATTCTATAATAATAATTTAGTTAATATTTAAATATTCATAACTCTTCTATTACTTATTGTTTCTTAATTTCTTATTGTCTATTTCCTCTATAATGTGTTATGGTTATTGCTGCCTTACTAATAAACATCCTTTTATATGCTTTTTCTTTTTCTCTCTTAATTTGAACTATTTTCCTATATATTTTGTTATCTTCAATTGTGTAAATGATGTTGTCATTTTATTCCTTTTCTTATTCTTTAATAACTATTATCTTTTTATTTAGAGTAGTACTTAGAATGTCATTTCACCTAAATAATTTATATTTGAAATTGCAATTCAAATATAACTGCTTTTCCACACAATAAATGTCTCAACTTCCTTACTTCAGTATTTCTAACCTTTTTTTAATCAGTACAAATACTATTGATACATTTTATTTGTTCTTTTCTTTAATTCCTATTTTTGTTTATTTTCTATTACTATCTCATGAAATAATCACTTAAAATTAAAGTTTATTATTGAAGTACAAATAATAGAAAAAAAAAGAACATATAAGCTCAATTGAGTTCATTTGATATTATTCAATATTATAATATGTATTGAATGTTAATGAAATTATTTTAATATTATTCAAATTACTGTTGAAATTGGTTAAGAAATAGATTTTGTAGGTTTATTTCGACATTTTGTGTTATACAACACGAATTACTTTTATTTTTGAAATTTTTCAATTAAGTTTTGTTAGTCTGTATTTTATAACGTATTATATTCATTAAATCATCTTTGTTCTTATTTTCATTTATTTCAATTTTATAATTATTTTTGTTCGTTCTGTTTCTATCTTTTACCGACTTATTAAAATATCATTCCTTTATCTTGAACTTCTGATTTATTCATTGTTTAAAGTTCATTTGCTTTAACAATGAATTTCTTATTCAACTGTTTTTTATTCTCAAGAATGAAACGGAATTACTTAGCATATCTTCATTTAACACATTAATTATATTTGTAATAATACAATAACATATCTTAACATCACAATATTTGGTTGTAATACTTTAAAATCTATTTATGCTAAATTACTTAGAATTAGATTTGTGTTATAATTCTTTGATGAGGTAAAGTTTAAATCCATCATCACAACGACTTTTGGTTCTAGTTTGAACGTAGCCATTCTTTCAAACTGATGTTGTTATCATTTGGTAGTTTCACTGTTATTGTGTTTATTGACCAAAGTCAGTTTTGAATAAATAAATTAACACTCAATTAAAACAAAAATGAGCAAGAGGTTTATAACAATTATTGTTTTGAATAAGAATTAAGTAAGAAATGACTATTTTCATTCATATTTAATAAATTATGGTTTTTGATAATATTTATTTACCAAATGATTATAAACAATATTTCTTACCTATTAAACTGATAGAAAATAATTTGTTTAATCCATTTTCTTGTTTAAAGCTTTTAAAACATTGAAATATGTTTTGTTTTATATTATTAACATAACTTATGACAAAATGTTCATTATTAAAACTAAATTTCAGTCTTATAATTGGAATAGTTATTTAAATACAAGATATAAAGAAATGTAAATGAATTACTGAACAGAATTTATTCATTTGGGTACTGATATTCATAAACATAATTTTCCATAAATTAACAAAAATATCAAATGATAAAAAGCAAACAGTTAAGTAATAATTGAATTGTTTTTATTGTTTTTGTATCAGTTTGGATTAATCCAGTAAATAAATCTTCTACTACTAGTTCTACTGAGTATGTTATAATATTGAATGTTCAATGTTCCATTATCCTCTTCAGCTTTTTAATGTCATTATTTTTATCTTCTTTAATAATGGTAATTTTCATTTTTTTCTTTAATTAATCTAATACTTGAGGTGTTTATTATTCATCTGTTTCAATTTATTATTCAATTTCTTTTTAAATCTCTTATTTCTCTATTTTCTTTATTTATGTTTCTTTATTTATGTTTCTTTTCTTCATTCATCTCCATTGACATTGTGATATGAGTCATTAGTTATATCATTTATGAGTTTCATTCGTTTTATATAATGTATATTTTATCTTTTTCTTTTTTACTTTTATTCATGTTAATGCATTGTGTTTTTCAATTATTTATTTTCATTATACTTAAATTTATTTCATTTATTGGTATTATGACATAGTCATAATTGAAATATCTTTCATTCAA